ACAGCTTTCATTGATTTATTTCAAACTTGAAACTTTGTTTAGCCTGTTGGGTGTAAAAGAAAATAAATAATAATAATAAAAAGAAATGTAACCGATTAATCGAATCGAATCGAATCGTGGTGTATTATTGAGTATCGAAAATAATCGAATCGTTGGGTCAGGAAATCGATACTGAATCGAATCGCCATAATGGATGTGATTTACACCCCTAGTCGCTAGGCTGCAAATGTTTGAGATGATCATGGTGCTGGAGCGATCTTGATGGCTCTACACCTGTTGACACTAGTGCAGAGATATTTTATGTTGTAGTCTTACCGGATCTAAGTGTGGGTTACATTGTATTTCACAACATCGATGGAACGTGGCTCAGCCAATCACATTTCAGAATGGGATGCAACTGTTTTATAGTAATAATATACTGCACACTAAGAGAGAGTAATGGCTTTTCTTTTTTTATCTCGCATTGAAATTCATATGATATGAGTGAGAGCGACTCCTCCCTGAAGTCACATCCCTGGAACAGAGATTATTTAAGCAGCTGACTACCCCTTTTTCTTTCTCTTTGCCCTGTGGCCCACAGGTCTGAAAGGCGAGACGCACCGACCTTCTTTGCCTGGCCACCCCGCTACAGAGAAGTCAGATTTCTGCTGGCAAAAACAGGCTGCTTCTTGCCTGAGGTTCATAGAGAACTTAAAGTAGTGTCTTTTCATTTGATTGTTCACTACCCATAGAACAGTTCTGGTCCGACCCTGTTGCTGACTTTCTGGGTCTCTGAACCGAACCAGATATTGTTCCTACCTTTCCACCGAACCAACACAAAGTAAACTTCCTTTACCCCTCTTTTTAATGCAAAGGTTACTGAGGTATTCTAGCTTGGACGAGGTATAGAATAGATTATGTTTTTTATTTCATGTGTTGGTGGTTTCATAAATGAAAGAATTCTGAACTGAATGCTAATAAAAACAGAGCACAGACATCCCAAGTCTCCTGGAAGTTCCAGAAGTCTCCCTGATATAGATAGTTGTTCACGGATGCCTGCAAGTTGAACAGTGATGGATCTAGACCAAATGTACCAGGGGGGCCAGGAGGGGGCCAGCATGTTTTCATGGGGGGCATAGAGAAGAATGAAATAAAAAACAGTGCAAGGCATTTAAATATATTAAGAGAGCTGCATGAAGTGAAATTTCTTTTCAATTAGGTTCGATAAAAATTCTATTTCATATGAGGTCAATTATCAGGAATCCAGTTTGTGTGGTCTGTTTTTGTGTTTCCTTTCCTCCTCCACCAGGTGGTGCCCCGTCCTCATTGGGTCTCCCGGCACACCTGCAGCTCATTGCCTCATTACCTGTAGAGTGTTCTTAAGCTGCTGACTGCCACTACCTCGACGCCAGAGTGTTTGCCAATCCAGGGCACTCTAGCCATGCTTAGTTTAGCAGAGTCTAACCTGAGTTTTGGTTTGCCAGTTTTGGATTCTCTAGCTAAGCTGAGTTAGCCTGACAACAGCCAGATGCATGTCTCGCTCCGCCTAGCTCCACTCACATACATCTGGGAACCCGCTCATTGAAAGTGATTTCCCCAACCGAATTTATGGTCTGTCCAATCAGGACGCAGGGCGGGTGTGTCCTGGAGTGGAGAAGCGACCGTGAGATTCCAACAACAATGGCGGCTCGCATTGAGGAAGCAAGCGTTAGCATTGATGCTGCTATTTCTTCTGTGTTGTCCAATCTATCTGATATTGTTTCATTAAAAAAACATCAGAGAACGTCTTTGAAGGCTTTTGTTGGTGGAAACGATGTTTTCGCCCTTCTCCCGATCGGATTTGGTAAGAGCTTGATCTACCAAATGGCTCCTCCTCTCACAGCGTCACGGGTTAGCTTCGGTGTGAGTGGTTGAAATAGCACGTCAATAAAGATGACAGACAAGTGGCTTATCCAATCATATGCAAGGAGTTTTGATAAGGCCCAGCCTTCAGTAAAGGCAATTCCTATGGCGGGTTCCCAGATGTATGTGTGTGGAGCTAGGCAGAGCGAGACATGCATCTGGCTGTTGTCAGGTTAAAGCTGAGTTTAGTTGAGTCAAACTGAGTTTTTGTCAAGCTGAGTCTTAACTTTGTTCTTGTCTTTGCCTCTCGGCAGGAAGTCATCGTGCAAACTGGATTTGTTCGGACCTTCTCTCTCTGGAAGGATCAACTGAGCTTCTAACTGAGCTGGGGTTCCAAACATTAAGTTTGGATCCATTATCCCCAAGAGGTTGTTTGAGCTTCACACCGAGCAAAGTTTTCATCTGCACCGCAGCCCGTTCAAGTACCGCAGGAAATCTGAGTGGCAGTCAGCTTCTCCATACACTCCAAACAGGAAGTATGTATCCACTTTCCCCAAGAGGTCGTTTGAGCTACACGCCGAGCAAAAGTTTCATCTGCACAACAGCCCGTTCAAGTACCGCAGGAAATCTGAGTGCAGTGTTGCCAACTCCTCAGTAAGGAAAGTAGCTATTGGCTGTGCTAAAAGTCGCTAAATGAAGTCATCGCCTATATAATAGTGTTTTTACTCACTTTACTAAACAATATATATTTAGACCAAATAACATTTTACATTTACATCCCGCTCGCTCCCGCCTTGAATGTAAGTCAGGGCGAAGCGGCACCGCGTGATCAATTTGCGCCGTCAATCCCGGCGCATGCGCGCTTCATTTGCAGTCTGGACGCTGAGGGTAAACATCCTGCGGCTCTGACTGCAGCGCTGAGAGGGACTCCTGCGGGAGAACGGGGTTGGGGTGGGGGAGGCGCCCCACGGCAGAGTAGGAACAATACATGCTTTCACGTAAGAGTCTCCAAAAGCCGCCAGTTACACCGTAAAAATTACATCAGGCGATTATTTAAAAAAAAAAATCGCTGGAGGGGTCTGAAAAGTCGCTAAATATAGCGACAAAGTCGCTGAGTTGGCAACACTGTCCGAGTGGCAGTCAGCTTCTCCGTTCATCTAGGAACAACCGCAGTCTGAGTAAACCCTGTCCGCCCAACACCAAACAAGACAATCACTGGAACCTTCCCACACAGACTGGATTCCATAAAGGACACCTTTTCCTGGAGAAGTGAGTCTTCAACCTATTCCTCCAATTCAAACAAAAGATTCTACTTTCCCACTGAGCCTGAACTAACCGCAGTGTCTTCCCCTCACCTTCCAGTTCCGGTTGAGCAGTGTTCTGAGCAGCACTGGTTTCATCACCATACTCTAATAAACCTGTTAAACTTTTCCCTGGTCTCTCTGTTTGGTCTTCTGCATTTTGGGGTCAGACCTTTAAATAAGATCATGACATCAATATACATTTATAATTTAGGAATTTTACATATTTTTTTTTACTTAATTTAAGTAAAAAATACTGAGTTAGAACTCAAGAAAAAACTATTAAATTCATCAGTAAAAATTAGAGCAGTTCTTTATTTGTGGTGAAAAATAAACATTTAACGGATGGAAACTGGGATCTTATCTCAATACCACTGAAGCTATCACCTTATTGTTTTTGAATTATTAGTCAAACAGAATTTGTAAAGAAAAAGAATGAAATAGATCCAAAGGACCTATCAGTTACCATGTCTGTTCCAGCGCAGATCATCGTTAGAATTTCTTTTAAAGGAATAGTACACCCAAAACATGATTAGCCTTCATTTTCTACTCACCCCCATGCTGAACAACACTCTGGAGTACTTTTTTGATATCTCAAATGCATCTGGAGATCTGGGAGGCTTCTTGCTGTCTGCTGACATTCAAATAATGGAGGTCTATGGTGACCGAGACAGAAAGGTCCATAAAAGTCCACAAAAAACGTGTCAATATTCCTCCATACTGCTCGTCCAATGTATTCCAAGTGTCCTGAGTGGGTAGCGTCCATAATTTACTCGAAACGAAGTCATTTAGAATGTTTTTAGAGCATAAACAGTAGTGTATAGGATTTCCTGAAAGCGCGCACATGCACGCTCACGACGCTACGGAAGCCGGCAGACCAAACCAGATGAAAGTGCGCATTCAGCGTCTGCTCTGCCAATAATGCAAGCGTAGAAGAAGAAATGTGCTGTTTACCTGTGCAAAGAAAGAAACAACGAAAGAAAAATGTCTGAGGACTTCAGAGTTGAGGAAGAGCATGAGTTCTTTGCCGAGCTGAATGCGCACTTTCATCTGGTTTGGTCTGCCGGCTTCCGTAGCGTCGTGAGCGCGCATGTGCGCGCTTTCAGGAAATCCTATACACTACTGTTTATGCTCTAAAACATTCTAAATGACTTCGTTTCGAGTAAATTCTGGATGCTACCCACTCAGGACACTTGGAATACATTGGACAAGCAGTATGGAGGAATATTGAGACGTTTTTTGTGGACTTTTATGGACCTTTCTGCCTCGGGCGCCATAGACCTCCATTATTTGAATGTCAGCAGACAGCGAGAAGCCTCCCAGATCTCCAGATGCATTTGAGATATCAAAAAAGTACTCCAGAGTGTTGTTCAGCATGGGGGGGAGTAGAAAATGAAGGCTAATCCTGTTTTGGGTGTACTATTCCTTTAAGTATTATGTCTTCAATACCTGTCTAGAACCAGCCGTGGTGAGGAATGATGACACTGTGATGAGGTGCACTGAAGTTTATGTCTTGGCTCGGCGCCGCTTCGTAGCCTGGCTTCCTGGTTCTATCTGAGCTAACTCATTATGCTCCAGTGCTGCTACATTCTAATGCATTTCTGAGTCATTATTCATTATTCAATGTAAAACCGAATTAATTCTGACATTGCATTTAAGATCTTTGCATCATTTGTTATTTACAATTATCTGCTGTTTTGCCCTTGAATGCATTAAACATCAACATCCAGTTCTAGTTATTTAATGTATTCATAATCTGCTGGTAAATTTTTCAAACTTTATCAAAGAACAGACTGTGGGAGGAAGCTAAAGAAGAATCTTTTCTCATGATAATGACTTTGAAAAGCCGGATGTAATTATTTAACACTGTCTACTCACACAATGCACGGTGGGGCTTCTCCCACCTGGGGGCTGCACGGCTCCTTTTCTTCCAGTTCTGGGCACTCCGCTCCTCCACCGATTGGGAACTGACTGACTTTCTTGTTGCGGGTTCGCTCCCCTTTTGCCCCACTGGGGTCATAGCACTGCTTGGAACAGGCTGACCATTCAGACCACTCAGTCACATCACAATCTCTGGGAACCACACAGGCCTGAAAGGTCACTGGGAGTGTCTCCTGGGAGCACAGGCTGCAGAACAAGAAAACAGTACATTTTGTTAGAAGATCGATAAATGTAGCTACAATGTATTTTCTAAATAGATTCATGTATATTTTCTACTATAATATTTTCCCCTGTGGGAGTTCCTTCACATCTTTTTCTCTTCCTTTAAGTTTTAAGAGTCTGTATTAATTAAAAGGTTAAAGAACATTTTGTGTTTCTATAAAAGTTGACTCTCTTTACCGCTGTACATCTGATATGTGGCTCATAAAGAGCACAATAACTGTGTTTGCAGACATTTAAGCTCTCTGCGAGCTTAAATGAAAGTAGTTCTGCTGAAAATCCTGAAAATCTGATAGTTTTTCAATTTCCTTTGCAAATTTTAGCACAATTTAACTGCAGAGGATCTTAGTTTGGGTCACATTACATTTAACCAGTAATAAGCCTCAGATTGCAGCCATTTAGGTGGAGGTAATACAGTCAAGGCCTGATCTTTAGGAGGTCTGTGTTTCTGAAAACAGGCACATGTTTGCACGAAGAATTGGCCTTGATTGATATGCATATCATATTTTAATGACCAAGCTGCACAAATTCACAGCAGGACAATATGCAAATGTAAACATTTACCATTTGCAAAGTGAAAAAAATGTTCTGAATCAATAACAGTTTTTTTTTTCTCATATTTTTAAATACTTCTTAAAGTCAGGTGTAAACTCACATGTAAAACTATCTTCTGTTATTTTTGCCACAAAGATTCTTTCAACATGTAAACATATTTGGACCGTCAGAGATAAGAATAGCAGAATAAATAAGTACAGAAAAAAATGAATGCAGCAGGATGACAGAATCTTTAAACAATTAAATAAAAAATGACTGAACTTAAATATTGTGTCATGTTTCTGAAAATACTTTCTGCAAGATGAACCCCTTAAAGCGCAAATCTTTTAGGCTTGGAAACATTTTATTTCTCCCTTGATTTAATAAAACAATTACAATTATTACATATAGTATAATATATGTTATATATATTAGTATTATAATTATTTTTGAGGTTACTTTTTTCATTATGGCTTAGAAACTCATCTTCCTTTTACGGCCACTCTCAAGCTGACAATGCTAGTCACAGTCAGCTTATTTCAATGGGTGGAACCAAACTGGTTTTCACATTTAATTATTTGTGCAGAAAAATGTGCTGCAAGTCCTAAAAAAGAAACTGCATGTGTAATTTAGTGCCCTCTGTTTGGAATCTCTAAAGATTAGGCGTTTAAAGTGGGTTCTTGTCAAACAGAAGGGAAAAAAGAGTTGCAGCTATGCAAGTGGAAGAAAACATTCTTTTACAAAAAAAAAGTAACAGTAAAGTCATGAAAATACTGAATCCCTGCAGTGAAACATTTTTACTCTGCCTTTGACTTTTTCGACATTTTGCCGAATTTTAGGCTTTGAACATAAAGATATAAAATTGTAAATCTTTGTTAAGAATCAACAATCATGAAGTGGAACTTTTAAACATGAAGTGGATATTTTAAACTATTTTAACAAATTCAAAACTGTGGGGCGTGTAAAATGAATCGTCTCCTTTAGTTTCAGTGCATCAAGCTCTCTGAATGATCAATGTTGACCTAAATGACTGATGATGATCAGTAGAATCCACCTGTGTGGAAACAAGTCTCTGTATAAATGCTGCTGCTCTGTGATCATCTCAGAGGTCTGTTTAAGGCGCGGAGAGCATCATGAAGAACAAGGAAAACACCAGGCAGGTCCCAGATGCTGTAGAGGAGAAGTTTAAAGCCAGATTCGGATAGAAAAAGATTTCCCAGCTTTAAACATTTAAAGGAAAACTGAGCAGCGATAATATTAAAACAGAAAGAGTATCAGACCACTGGGAATCTACAGAGACCCGGCCCTCCATCTAAACTTTCAGCTCAAACAAGGAGAAGACTGATCAGAGCCGCAGACCAGACGCCCATGATCACTCTGGATGAAGTGCAGAGATCTACAGCTGAGGATGGAGACTCTGTCCTTGGGACAACAATCAATCATATGCTGCACACATCTGGTCTTCATGGAAGGCTTTTCTGGTAGATATCCATTAAAAGTTGGGTTTAAAGATTGTTACCAGCCACCCGGGAGACACAGCAAACATGTGGAAGAAGGAGATCTGGTGAGATGGAACAGAAATCCAACTTTTTGGCTGCAATTCAAAGTGTTATCTTTGGTCTAAAGCAACACAGTTCATCACCCTGAACACACCATCCCTACTGTAAAACATGGTGGTGGCAGAATCATGGTTTGGACCTGATTTTCTTTAGCTGGGACAAGGAAGATGGTTGGAATTGATTGTAAGATGGATGGAGCCAAATACAGGAGAAAAGGGAGTCTGCAGAGAACCTGAGACTGGAATGGAGATTAATCTTCCAACAAGATAATGATCCAAAAACGAAAGCAACATCTACAATGGAACAGTTCACCATTAAACCTATCCAGGGGTTAGAATGGCCTAGTCCAAGTCCAGACATGAAAACTGCTGTTTGCAAAACACTTTCCATCCAATCTCACTGAACTCCAGCTCTTTTGCAGGAAGAATGCGAAAAAATTCAAGTCTGATAGAGACAAACCCCTGTAGGACCTGCAGCTGGAATCGCAGCAAAGTGTGAACTCAAGGGGGCTGAATAATTAACTGAATCATTTTGCCCACTCGATTCAGGGTTTTTTTTTTTTTGTTCAAAAAGTTTAAAATATAGAATAAATTTGGTTCCACTTCATGATTGGGATCTACAACTGAGGTAGGAGACGATATTAGTCACATACTGCACAAACCTTTATGGAAGAAAGACATTCAATTCAATTTATATAGCGCCAATTCACAACACGCGTCATCTCAATTAAATTCAACCAGATCATACAGTTAGATTTCTGAAAGATATGCATAAAAAGTCTAGTTTAAAATTTGCCACAAGCCACCTGGTAAACAGCAAACATGTGGAATGATTGTTTCTTCACAGAGCAGAAATAATCTGATTAGGAGCTGGGCAGAAACCCTCCAGTCTGGTCTTTAATTATCTCTCTCTGTGTTTCAAATGGAGGTTTTAATTTAAAAATAAACCCTTTGGATATTTTCAGAGACGTTTAAGTCACACAATAGAAGTAAGTAAACTTTTCATGTGATATCTGGAAGTAGAATTCAGAACCAGATTCTATCAAAAAGCTTGCATGAAACAGAGCGTAAAAGTTTAATATTTGTTCTCATATGAAAGGATTCCAATGTAAGCTGTTAAAATAGGAAACATTTCCAAGTTTGTAGTTTTAGCTAGAGTATGCAATAATTAGCCCCATGCTAATGTGACCTCATAGTAGATCAACTTGATCGTGCCCTATTTCCAACATCTACAGTCGATAAGCACAGCTAAGCCTGTTCCGAGCCTTCAGCCATGTGTCCATACATGATGAATGATGAAGATCTGTGGTGTGTATTCTTTCAGGCATAGCAGGGAAATCCACTGCAGGGGCCACGGCTTTCTTAGGAGCTAATTGATGGTGTTCAGTGGCCTGTTTTAGAGCAGAGTAGCCATAGAGACAGAATAAGGTCATTTATGATGGTAGCAGTGAGCAGGGCTCTCTGACACCACAGAAACTGCAAACAGTGAACAATGTTAAAGTGGAGCCGGTGCCAGCTTTCATTAGAATAACACTTCCTGAAGTGTGAAGAAATGTCATGGAGTTCTGCAGCATCCACAACCTTGGACGGACCCTCCCAGATCTACGCGCTACCGAATGTACTGGCTTTAAGGACTTCATACATGCCAAGATCAGCTTATTGGTCAGATATTGCAGAATCAAACCAGTTTCTCATCAGGTTGAGTTGATTTAAACATTTCTGGAACGCTGGTGGCTTAATCTGGATTTAGCATTTTATACCATCTACCTGGAATAAATGCAAACACATGATTATATCTCTTACATTTCTTTGTAATCAAAGGTTTACAGAAGGTAGACATGTAAAAGTGTGTCCTTTTGTGAGAAAATGTTTTATGTGAAAAAGCAGGATATCTAAAAAACTGCAGAGAGGAAATAGCTAACTGTTAAGATTTCTCTCTCCCAATCGATTTGCCTTTTTTATTAGAAGAATTAATTCTGTCAAAACCGTAATAAGGTGTAAAAGTAAGAGAAAAGGAGCTCTCAAGCCCATAAGAACAACGGAAATGAACGAATAACTTGAAAGTTCAGTGTTTTCTTTCCAAAACAAGAGCTGTTTTTACCTTCAACAAACACAAAGATATCCAGAAATGGTCCTAGCTTCCTAAATTGCTCGTTAACGGCATCTTCACTATGACAAAAACAAGAAATGCCCAGTAACGAATTTAAAATGCTTTGATATAATAAGGAAATGTGGGACAAATAATTGGTTATACTCTCAGCAGTAGGTGTCAGATTATGCAACATGTCTTCCATTGCCTTTCCCACCTAAACCTGTTTAAAGTCAGCAGATCTGGAACCTTTTTAGCTCTGAATGTGTGAATAGTGAAGTATGGAGTGAATTTGGTTCCTTCACTGCTGCACGCAGAAAATACGTTTTGTAAATTTATTTCATTTTTTACAGATTTTATGTTTTCAAATTTGATTTTCTCAATTTCTTATTCTTTTTTAAAATTCTGTTTTCTAGATGTAATTTGCGAATTGCATTGTTTTCAAACTGATTATGTTTTCTTCACTCCTGGGGCGGGCTTTCCTCTGGAGAAACATTTTTGCTGGTCAAGAATGAAAAAAATCATTTCTATTGGGCTGGAAGTGAAGAAAATCTTAGCTGTAAAATTCCATTTAAACACAGTGCAATTTGTAAAATGCATACTGAAAAAAAAAAAGAAAAAAAAAATAAAGTTGGAAAAAATTTAAACCTGAAAAATGATTTAATCTGAGAAAACAGCAAAGGTACTGCTACAATACTGGAACGAAATTGAGTCCATAGTCAAGAGCTTGATTAAGGGTGGTTTGTCCATCCATCACATATACTGGGCATGCATTTACTGGGCATGCATATACTGGGCATGCATATACTGGGCATGCATATACTGGGTATGCATATACTGGGTATGCATATACTGGGCATGCATATACTGGGCATGCATATACTGGGCATGCATATACTGGGTATGCATATACTGGGCATGCATATACTGGGCATGCATATACTGGGCATGCATATACTGGGCATGCATATACTGGGCATGCATATACTGGGCATGCATATACTGGGTATGCATATACTGGGCATGCATATACTGGGCATGCATATACTGGGCATGCATATACTGGGTATGCATATACTGGGCATGCATATACTGGGCATGCATATACTGGGTATGCATATACTGGGCATGCATATACTGGGCATGCATATACTGGGCATGCATATACTGGGCATGCATATACTGGGCATGCATATACTGGGCATGCATATACTGGGCATGCATTTACTGGGCATGCATATACTGGGCATGCATATACTGGGCATGCATTTACTGGGCATGCATATACTGGGCATGCATATACTGGGCATGCATATACTGGGCATGCATATACTGGGCATGCATATACTGGGCATGCATATACTGGGCATGCATATACTGGGCATGCATATACTGGGCATGCATATACTGGGCATGCATATACTGGGCATGCATATACTGGGCATGCATATACTGGGTATGCATATACTGGGCATGCATATACTGGGCATGCATATACTGGGCATGCATATACTGGGCATGCATTTACTGGGCATGCATATACTGGGCATGCATATACTGGGCATGCATATACTGGGCATGCATATACTGGGCATGCATATACTGGGCATGCATATACTGGGCATGCATATACTGGGCATGCATTTACTGGGCATGCATATACTGGGCATGCATATACTGGGCATGCATATACTGGGCATGCATATACTGGGCATGCATTTACTGGGCATGCATATACTGGGCATGCATATACTGGGCATGCATATACTGGGCATGCATATACTGGGTATGCATATACTGGGCATGCATATACTGGGCATGCATATACTGGGCATGCATATACTGGGCATGCATATACTGGGCATGCATATACTGGGCATGCATATACTGGGCATGCATATACTGGGCATGCATATACTGGTGACCTATCATGGATGTTAGTAGAATCTGGGAGGAAGCTAGAAGCTCACACTGGTTCTGGTTCTGCTGGAGGTTTGTTCCTGTTCAAAGGGAATTTTCTTCTCCACTATCGCTACAAGCATGCTTGATTTGGAGGATTGCTGAAGAGTTAGAGGCCGTTTCTCAATTCACAACAAGTGAGTACGGACTTGTGTTCTTGCCGTGTATGTTCTTGGGAAGAACACGGGAAAGTCTGGGAGAACGGGAGCATGCAGAATAAATCTGGGTCAATTGGAACAGAAGCTGGTCTGGAGCTGCATTTCGCCTCTTGTTATTAATAGTCTCTAGATAGTAATAAATTCTAACCTTTTTCATTTATTGGGGAAATAATAATTAACAAAGTCAGATTAACACAAATCAAATTCACATTTTGCCAAATAAAACAAAAAAAAAACTCCAACAGAGCCAGCGGTCCTTCACACACAGCTATGCAGAGAGAGGGCTGCTGCAGACGGGCTAACGTTAGCCTCGGTTACGGTTAGCTTTGGAGCTCCACTGGTTGCCGCTGTCATCTCAACTTCAAAATTTTTCTATTATTACGCATTAAATCGGTAAATTGTCCATATAGTGACGCTTAAAAGCAGATTGTTTTCACCTCAAATGATCTTAAAACGTACTTTTATTGAATAACAGAAAAGAGAATTTTAAGTAGCAAGTCTTGCAAGTCAATGGCTGGATGCAACCGACTTGGTTTCCTTGACAGAAGCGCTTGATGGGCCACATGATGGCACAGTGGGTAGCTCTGCTGCCTTGCAGCAAGAAGGTTCCCAGGTTTGATTACTGACCCAGGGTCTTTCTACATGGAGTTTGTATGTTCTCCCTGTGCATGCATTGGTTCTCTCTAGGTACTCCATCTTCTTTCCACAGTCCAAAAACATGACTGTTAGGTTAATAGGTGTCTGTAAATTGTCCTTAGATGTGAGTGTGTGTGTGCATGGTGGTGTGTCTCTGCGACAGACTGGCAACCTGTCCAGGGTGGACCGGACTCGTAGAATACCGGAGATAAGCACCAGCCCAACCGCAACACAGACAAAGACAAAGCGTGAAGAACATGGCTGGATGGATGGATTATAAATAAAGTGAATCGAACCCAGAGAGTTCTCACAATGTTCAGGGGCAACATGCAGAGGACGACCCCAGCAAAGATTCTCCTTTAATGTAAGTGGCAGTGCCAGCTGACAAGGACAGCATGGAACCGATGGTGAACCCAGGGTCCGATAAACTGCCTCTTAGCTGAATGTTTCTATCGTTTGCTCCCGAGTTTGTTGGTAGCTGCTCATGATGCCATGCTCATGCTGCTGCTCAGGAGATTTCATTATCTTTCTGAAAACCTTCAGCTAGATAATAACTTAAAACATTTGGTGTATTTAATACAAGCTGAGAATCTCTTACAACAAGACCTCAACAGGATCTACAAACTGGGACATGCGGCAGCAGCAGCCATTCGAAATGGCCCTTCCCAGTCAAAAGCCAACCGAATGGCTGTGCATACTTTTTTACTCTGACTCCACCCTTTCACTGAATTACAGGGTCTGACCAGGGGACGAGGATTCTCTTTAGATCTTAATGTCCACAAACCGTGAGAGAAAGAATATTTTAGTACAAAAATAGATGTTTTTTAAAAAGAAATTGTAGGGAATGTTAGGTTTATTGAAGACAGTTAGTGTGTGTACATATGAAACATTGAAGACCTGCCTCCAGCTGATTGGTCATTACAGGGTCATTCTGTCTTATGACCCACCCTATCCTGTTTGTTAATAAAAGGCTCTACTGTGAAGGGAGCAGGGAGAAAGGCGGTGAAATGTGAGCAGGCAGCCTTTCTCCTCCTGCAGGAAGCTGTGTTTGAAAATCCCTTGGTGTGTCAGATTCATTTTTTGTCCTATATGAACTCACAATTTTTTGAAGCTAACAGGGAACCAGCCAAGGTCCCACTGAGGAAAGTAGGGACTTTTTGAATGACTACTACTGTACGAATGAAATATGATGTAGTGAAAGATGGCCTTACCTCAGAGCTTCAATGCTTCCGCTCTTATTCACACAGGTCACCTCTCTGGTCTGGTAGCCGACCTGAAGATCCCAGAATTTTCCTCCTGGACGGTTTTGCCGGTTCTTGTTCCTCCTCCTTTTGATCAGCTCTCTGGTCTCTGGGTCTTTCGGCTTCCCCTTCTCTCTTATCCTTCCTTTGACCTTCTCCCTCATTTTGTCTTCTTTTGCCTTGTTTTTTACCTTTTTCTGCCGCTTGGGTCGATCGGCCTGTCTGAAGGCTTTGCCTTGCTTCCTGTTTGCTCGGCCCAGTTTTCTGTTACCTGATGGTGGTTTGTTACCATTTCTGGACACTTTCTCCTCCCCTTCTGTGGACTTTGTTTCCTTTTCTTCATACTGTTTCTCATCATCTCTCATTCGTTTTTTCTTGCGTTCTTCTCTGGCCTGTTTTTCCCCTCCTTTGGATGGTGTTACACCGTCTCTGGACTGTTTGTTGCCGTCTTTAGCAGGTTTATCGCTTTCCCTGGATCTTTTGCTGTTCTCCCGGCTTGGTTTTTCAGCTTGCCTGACTTGCCTTGGCAAAGGGACAGAACAGGAGCCCCAGGGTCCAACTCTGAGGCTGTAGAGGTTGTCCTCCCCCTCACACAGTCCAGGCTGACACGTCTGGAATTCAGTTAGATTGGGGCAGGCAGACCCACCGAACAGTGGTGGCGCCAGAACAAAGCGTATTCGATTCCGTAAGCCAATGCCACATGTTTTAGAGCATGAGGTCCACGGACTGAACTCAGACACCACACAGTCACGAGGACAGGGTATTAGGCAAGCCTGCTCCTGCCTCGGTTTAGGCTCGAAGTATTCACAAATTGCATCCTGTGCAGGCTCGCCATCGGCTCTCTGAACACAGCCCACTTCACGAGTCTGTATGCCCTCCTCTCCACGTGTGCACACAGCTGGCCGCTGCACCCCACCACTGCGCATCATTACTGGGACGCACTGGTTCCAAGCACCCAGCTGCCATTCGTAAAGATCTTTGTGCCAGTCACACACCCTGAAGCAGCTCTGCTGGTTTTCCGGCCGCTCTGCCTGGTCACAGTTTGTGTGGAGGGTGGTCCAGCCTTCAGAATGGGCACACCACACCGCTCTGCTCTGGCTGCCTCCAGGTCCGCACTCACTGCCCATACACCGACCCCATGGACCTGTGCAAAGGGAGAGGACAGCAGTCAGCCATGCATGGGAAACAGTGGTTCTAATTATATAGACAAAAGGGAAGATTAGTTGGATTTTTTTATGTGCTTTTCTGATACTCTTAATTAAAGATAATCAGTATGAAAGAAAAGAAAAACAATGTTAAGAGCTTAACACTAGTTGCTTTTCTCGGTAAGCAACAACTGAGCTGTTACAATTTAAAAGTGAACATAAAAGTGACATTTCAAACAGCAATTTGCAAACTAAAATGTGATTCTTATTCTTGCTGTATGAAGTTAAAAGCTGTTTTAAAACTGCTTCGCAGGTTCGCATGATAAAATTGCAACGCAGTCAGTATATAAACAGCAGCTGCAGGGAACAGCTGCAGGCAGACGGATTGGATCAATGGAAATCAATGGAGGTGGAAAAAGAACTGGACCAGTTGATATCAAATGTCAGCTGCAGCTTCAGACCTGAAAAGTGTCATTGGCTATTTTCATCTGTTTTAGGTGAAAAAGGGAAAATAATGCATAGAAGAACCTATGATTGCTAGAAACAGTTTATATTTAAAGCTGTAGGCTCAGGTGATGGAATGTAGAGACCTAAAGGTTTTTCTAAAACAGCAGATCAAGGTCAATGCTGTGGGAGTAAGAAGCAGAGGGAGCTGTGGTGTTTCATCCAGCTCTCCAAAGAGGGCAGCGTCTTTTATGCCCTGAAGATCTTCCTTTCTACTGTTTCAGAGGATCGCAGGTCTGAGCCGTGGTTTCTAGATCTGCCACAACTTCCCCAGCTGCTGTTAGCAGACTTACAAAAAACACAAAACACCATCCATCCATCCATCCATCCATCCATCATCCACCATCCATCCATCCATCCACCATCCACCATCCACCATCCACCATCCATCCATCCATCATCCACCATCCACCGGTCCATCATCCACCATCCACCATCCATCCATCCACCATCCATCCATCCATCATCCACCATCCACCATCCACCGGTCCATCATCCACCATCCACCATCCACCATCCATCCATCCATCCATCATCCACCATCCACCATCCACCGGTCCATCATCCACCATCCACCATCCATCCATCCACCATCCACCATCCATCATCCATCCATCCATCATCCACCATCCATCCATCCACCATCCACCATCCATCATCCATCCATCCACCATCCACCATCCATCATCCATCCATCCATCATCCACCATCCATCATCCACCATCCATCCACCATCCACCATCCATCATCCATCCATCCATCATCCACCATCCATCATCCACCATCCATCCATCCATCCATCATCCATCATCCATCCATCCATCCATCCATCATCCATCATCCATCCATCCATCCATCATCCATCCATCCATCCATCCATCCATCATCCATCCATCCATCCATCATCCATCCATCCATCCATCATCCACCATCCATCCACCATCCACCATCCATCCATCCATCCATCCATCCATCCATCCATCATCCATCATCCATCCATCCATCCATCATCCACCATCCATCCACCATCCACCATCCATCCACCATCCACCATCCATCCAACCATCATCCACCATCCACCATCCACCGGTCCATCATCCACCATCCACTATCCACCATCCATCCATCCACCATCCATCCATCCATCATCCACCATCCATCCATCCATCCATCATCCACCATCCATCCACCATCCATCCATCATCCACCATCCATCCATCCATCCATCCATCATCCACCATCCACCATCCATCCAACCATCCATCCATCATCCACCATCCACCATCCACCATACACCATCCATCCATCCATCATCCACCATCCATCCATCCATCCATCCTTCCATCATCCACCATCCACCATCCACCATCCATCCTTCCATCATCCACCATCCACCATCCATCCATCCATCATCCACCATCCACCATCCACCCATCCATCATCCACCATCCACCATCCATCCATCCATCATCCACCATCCACCATCCACCCATCCATCATCCATCATCCACCATCCACCATCCACCCATCCATCATCCACCATCCACCATCCATCCATCCATCATCCACCATCCACCATCCACCATCCACCCATCCATCATCCATCATCCATCATCCACCATCCACCATCCACCCATCCATCATCCATCATCCACCATCCACCATCCATCCATCCATCATCCACCATCCATCCATCCATCCATCCATCCATCCATCATCCACCATCCATCCACCATCCATCCATCATCCACCATCCATCCATCCATCCATCCACCATCCATCCATCCATCCACCATCCATCCATCCATCATCCACCATCCATCCATCCATCCATCCACCATCCATCCATGTACCCATCATGCATCCATCCATCCATCCATCCATCATCCATCATCCACCATCCATCCATCCACCATCCATCCATCCATCCATCCATCCACCATCCATCCATGTACCCATCATGCATCCATCCATCCATCCATCCACCATCCATCCATCCATCCATCCATCCACCATCCATCCACCATCCATCCACCATCCATCCATCCATCCATCCATCCATCCATCCATCCATCCATCCATCCATCATCCACCATCCATCCACCATCCATCCATCCATCCATCCACCATCCATCCATCCATGTACCCATCATGCATCCATCCATCCACCATCCATCCATCCACCATCCATCCATCCATCCACCCACCATCCACCATCCATCCATCCATCCATCCATCATCCACCATCCATCCATCCATCAATCCATCCATCCATCATCCACCATCCATCCATCCACCATCCATCCACCATCCATCCATCCACCATCCATCCATCCATCCATCCATCCATCCATCCATCCATCCATCCATCCATCCATCCATCCTCCTGATTGCTACCAACAGTCTAAAAGAGTTTACACTATCAACCCATTTAAAGCAGCTTTTAGTGACAGCAACATCAGGAGCATTCAGGCCCACCATCCAGAGGTGAACCGCGTGTGAACCGAACCCAGAAAGACAAGAGATCGGAGGAAGAGGCAGCTTTAGCTTTAGCCACCGCTGCTGAACTACTTACAGTTAAATTCAACAAGTAGCATGCTGTATAAATAGAATAAAGTCTTTAACATAGAGCGCTAACAGAAATAGACGACTACTGTAGAAATGCTTCATTATTTATGCCTATAGCCCAAAAACTACCAGGTGGTAAATTGTAGTAGTAAAAATATTAGTTGTCATAACAGATTAGCTCCACATCTACAGAGATCAAGACTTTAATTTTAGAGGGAAAACTACGGCAGCTGCTCCCTCTAAGCTTTGTTGGAGTTCCTCAGATACTTTTTCAAGAAAACAGGTTAATTTTCTCATTATCTAAAGATAACAGACACCGTTTTCTCATGATAATGAGATGATTGGTGTGTGTTAAAACTGATTACATACTTCAATACCACAGCAGCGGGAGAGGATTTGTAAGTCATGGCAGCTTATGTGTAATTCTGTAAATAATCCTTTGTTTAACTTTTAGGTAATGAGATGACGTTGTTGGTTTGCTTCCACTTCTGATTCATAAGCAATTAGACCTATGCCTCCAGTGCCTTAGCACCGGGTGTTTTCTGAACAGCCCTGGTGTTATGCCTGGAACAGCTACAAGATGCATTAACTACTAAATGAGTCCAGATTAAAGATTTTCATTAAAATACAGATTTGATTCTACTGTATTCCAAGCAATCCAATCACCCAGCATGACCTGACAATGAATGAAAAGAAAAGGGAAACAAAAAAGCTCATTATTTTCGCACAGGCGGCACCGCGACTGCACAACTACGGGCCCCGCAGGCATGGATGGACTGGGAATCCAGGACTGATGGCCAGCCTCATTCATTACCCAGACAGGTTAGTCATCTCGTTATCTCAAGAAATCATAACTGTTTTCTCGTGATAACGAGATAATTATCGTGTTATCTCGACAAAACAATTAATGGTTTAATGGTGATAATGAGATAGTTATGTTATTATCTCAAGAAGGAAAAGGAAAAATAAAAAGTTGAGTACGACCGCTCTTAGCTTCCGTAGTTTTCCACTGTGTTATATTCATATTCAAATTTAGCCTGGAGTGTTAAAAATGGAGGCAACTGGGACTTGGGTCCATTTTTAAGAGCATGTTTCAATAAAAAGATTTACTTTCTTCTCATTTTCTTTCTGATTATTTGCAGATATGTCTTATATGTTCTCCACCCAACCTGCAGAGAGACAAGTAAAGGACTGAATTCAACTGCTTTCTATTCCTGCAGATATTTTTTGTTTTTCTCTTGTGTTTTTCGCTACAATTTTCACAGCCTATAGTGTTAAAGTGTTGATCTGCAGGCAGCCTGATCAAAAAGACAGCTACTACGAGAATTACCAGGCAGATACTTTTCCTTAGGGCACAAACAGCCAAAGCTCTGCACCGAAACCAGGACTGACATCTGAACGCAGCTGCAGAATCATGACAGCCTGTAGCTCGTTTATTTTAACTTTCATGGCAATTTGAGGATGCATTTGGTTTTATTCATCATCATTTTCCCAGTCATAAGGATGTTCCTGTATTTTTAACAAGTTTTCTTGTATTTTCCTGCATATATGATACCGTCGGGAAAAACTAACTGGATGTTTTACATATTTAACAAACCCAGCTTGTTCCCAAGGAGCATATGATGATAGAAATACTGCTGGTGCCCACTTTCAGCGTATGCTTGTTGAGTTTTAGCCAAACCAGTGTTCATGCATCTTTCATAAGTCTTGTCAGAAGAGGAAAGTTCTCCATTTCAGGAGGAATATTACACGGCTCATTGAGGGTGTCATGTTGCTACATGGGGCTCTGCTTCAGTAACTTGTTACTGAGCAAGCTGTGCTGTTTGTTAAACGCACTGCTGGGCTCTGGATGGACCTGAGGCAAAGTATAAACAGACACAGACACTGCTCTTCTTCTCCAGTTCATTTAATGATCAATCTTTAAATA